AACTGGAGGTTTCTCTCCCACTCGCCAGTTCCCAAGTTAACCACACTGAAGCTTAATATTAGTTACAAACTGTTTGACCTATTAGCCAGGCTTATTAATGGCTAGCTCTTACAATTTACATTAGCCCATTTTTATTAATCTATATTTTCCCACGAGGCTCGTGGATTGTTACTTCACATCTTGCTTCCCTGGAAGCTGCTGGCATCTCCCAAACTCTACCTTCTTTCCCCCTATATTTGTTTGGATTTCCCACCTGGCTCTATTCTTCCTGGCTATTGGCTAAATCAGCTTCTTTATTAACCAATGACAATAAAACATATTCATAAGATTCAGAAGGGCATCCCACATCAGAACTGTCGCTCAAAAAATGACAACACCATGCCTCAGATGGGCCATCCAGCATTTTCTTTCAGCTCGCTGTGACTCAAGGAGAAAACACACACAGAACCTCCAATTACAACCAGAAACATTGATCCTCATCATTCCTACTGTGTGTTCATTCAAGATGAACCACGGAGGACTTGAAAAAAGATGATAGACCCCTATAGGAAGCTAGTCATAATGCCTCCTGCAGAGGAGCACCCCCATCTGCTCCGTTAGGTTCTGCTGTTTTGGTTTGGGTTCATCTGCCCACTGAAGTCCTCACCACCTGGTCACATAACCACCATTTCTCTCTGAAGTCACTCTGCTTCTGCATGACCAGCCCAGCCTTGTGTGTTGTTGTCCCTGCTTTTCTCCAAAGGCTCTGCCTTGCCTAAAATGACAACTCACTGGAAACAGGTGGACTGGGGAAGGCTGAAAATTCACAGCAAACTCCCTCCCACCTCCACAACACTTTCCTGCCATTCCCTGTGCCCTCTGTGTTGTTCTTGGAGCAATTCCATGGGAACTGATGAGCCAATCTCAAAGTCAGACATGAACTAAAAATTTTTAAAGTGAATCTGTGCCACATTTAGTAGTGCACCTCGTGAGGCCGAGGCAGGGCAGATCACAAGCTCCTGGGTTACACAGACCCTTTCTCCAAAAATAAAATAACAGCAAGTCAAAACTCTCTACACAATAATTCATATAAGAAAACACCCATAAAGAACTTTAAGTATGAATAACTTCACAAGAGTTGTGAGTCTAGAGAGCCCAATACAGCATGAGAAGATAGAAATTTCTATATATCCTTACCCTCAAATAATGAAGAGTTCTCAGATAGCTATATATTTTTTTAACGTAAGAATTCCTCAATTTTTGAGAACACCATGAATTTATATATGAGAAAGACCGACAAAAGGCTTCCACATGCGTCAGGGTACACTTTTTTTTCTTTTTCCCATACTGCCCGTGCTACCCTCTAATTCTAGACCGCTGAGAATGTGAGAAGATGCACATCTCGAACAAAGGGAGGGAACCCAGTGACGGCTTCTGTGCTAGAGAATGCCCACGGCACCCGCACTGTGCAGTTCAGGGGAGGGGGGACGTCTATCACTACTAATGGAGCACAGAAAGTGTTTGAAGTCCTAAGAATCAGATGGGAAGTAGCGGAAGAGATAATGGGGCCTTATCTCTCCTTGCAAGTCCTCACTTTAGTACTTGCTTCGTATCTCAGTGACCATGAGAAGTGTCCTGTTTGTTTGTTTCTTTGCTTGTTTGGATGATGGCAAGGCAGGCATTCTCAGCTCCCCTGTTAGCTCTAATCCTTCCCTGGTAATTGTGCTTTCTGATTTGCATCTTTCATGTGGCAGGAATCTGTAGCAAGTGAAAAGCAACCATCTCTGGGTAACAAAGTTAGTGTCAGATGGACACTGATGTTTTCTTCGGTCCGTAACTTGAGTCCAAGTGACTCGTTCTAAAGCAGCGCAACATGCAATATTTCCTCCAATGTGGGGTAGCAATTCTAAATTCTATTAACTTTCGGGGGGGGGGCGGATTATATGCATGCCCAGTTAGCCTGCATAGAAACGAAAGATGCTATAATTTGTGAAATGTCTGTATCTACTATGCCCCATTCAACGGAACACTAAATTATTATTACTAAATTATTCCACCCTCGAGGAAGCTGTAAGTACAGTTAAGTACTGACAAATAACATTCAAAACCTGGGGCTGGAGAGATGATTAAATGGTTAAGAGCACCACGGAATCCAGCACCCTCTACTGGCCTTTGAGGACACCAGCATGTGTGCACAAACATACATGGCAAGCAAAACACCCAATCATATGAAAATATATTGATTAAAGAGTTGATTAATTTGTTTAGAAGTGCTAGTACTAAGCAAACTTAGTTCATCAGGTGGTGCATGACTATAATATGAACTCCAGGGAATCCAGTGCCTTCTTCCAGCACAGACATACTCCCCCACAGTGCACAGACTCACACACATACAAACTCATATGCGTACTCATACATACACAGACAGACACACACACACACACTCATATGCGTACTCATACATACACAGACAGACAGACACACACACACACTTACATGCGTACTCATACATACACAGACAGACACACACACACATACACACTCATATGCGTACTCATACATACACAGACAGACACACACACACTCATATGCGTACTCATACATACACAGACATACACACATACACTCATATGCGTACTCATACATACACAGACACACACACACACACACACACACACACACATTTTTTCCTTAAATCTTAGAATGCCAATAACTGAAAAAGGAAAGTTTCCCTGTCATATACCCTAAGCCTAGCCATCCGGTTATTAGAATGACTTTCAAAGCATCTGTTTATGAAACATTTATTGGATCCTAGTTTCAGTACTTAACTTCTTTACTATGAGTCTAGGTTTCTCCAGCAGGAATTTTATTTGACTATCTATGAAGGTTGTGCTAGCACCTTTAAAAACGGGAGCACTATTTTCTAATCACACAGCGTAAAAAAAAAAAAAACAGTTCCTTGTATTTGTTGTTTGGTGAGGAGACAGAGTAAAGATCAGAAATAGTTAAGGATCGGTGTCTCAGATCATAAAGCTGTGGCCAATTTCCAAAGACCACCATCTAGCCACAGTTGGAGCCATGGTCAAAGATATTAGTATGATCACACTGTTCAAAATCAGTGATCTTTTTCAAAGGCAGGTACACGTTAGTTAAAATGGCACCCTGAGTGCAGGAACCCTGGATTTATACTGCTGTTTTGTGGACAGGTTAAAAGCTAACGTTTTTCTTCCCGGGGGAATATATATGCCGGGTGATCTTATTGAACTGTCATAGCTATACTGAGGTTCGTGTTGATGGACATTTGTCTGACCCCTTGGGAACTGCAGTGGAGTGAAGTATTCTCACACAAGAAAAGCTGAGCCTTTCATGGCTCCCTGAGAAGGTGGGAGGGTCTAACTCCTTCTCTGTAACTGACTCCCACCACATTGACAGATGCTAAACCCTGACATTTTTTTTTCCTTTTTGGTTCAGTTTCTCTTCATAGAATCATCTCAAGTAAGCTCATCACTTCCCATATCTTCACCTGAATCCCAGTGTCTTAAATTCTTTCCTTTTTCCGTGAAAATCATTTTCGCCTCGGTCAGTAAACTGTGCTTCTCTCGGCTTCATTTGGAATTTGTATTTGTGCTTTTGTTTTCCATTCGTTTACGTTTCTTTGGTTTGTAGTGTCGGAAGATGATGTTTTTTATGACAAACTGCCCTCGTTTGAAAGGCGCTGTGACATGCCTGCAGGTACGGTGCTAGCTGAGCGCTATCTAGATACGTAGAGTTGTTCCAAATCCAAGCCATTTTCCATCTGAATGCTCGAAGCTTCACGGACATGCTCCTCACCTCATGAGTCTCAGATGCACCCTGGACATTGCCTGTCCATCGTGGGACTCATGTCACTGAACCGATTTTAAGTGGACATACTTATAGAGCAGCTGGTTGCATGACAGTTTCTTAGAGAAAAGGCTCCTCCGAGCAGGTGAGATGTCATGGCTGTGCCAAGTTCAGAGGGAGAAATCATTTAAGTGCCCAGAATCTGCTGACTACTTTCTAATGTAAAACTTGCTGAAGCACCATTGGAAATCTTTCTTCTCTTTGGTACAGATGTAAAGGGCGTGTTGTGGCTGGACACCTAAGGTGATGCCAGCACAGGGATGGGAGATCACTGACATCGTCTGTGAACTTTAAATCGATATGCAATGCCATGCTGTTGTCATTGAAAAGCTAAGCAAATGTTGCCTATAAACCTCAACCCCAGGTTGTGCCAATAAGCAAGGGGGTGACCTTGAAGACAAAAAAGGATCCAGCAATTGCTGAATGGCAGTTTTTTGCCCAAATTAATGCAGTTAAACTATGCTAACACCCCTGCATGGCCAGGAAGACATCTGCTCCGTGCATACAAGTGCCTAGCCTCAAGCTACCTCCACGCGTGTCCATCCCTCCAGTCTCCATAGCTTTGATTCTGCCTTGTTTGCTCAATTAAAACAGAGACAAAACGAAAGACTCCAGACTCCCAGGCTTCCCTGTTTCCTGCACGCTAACGGCATGCAGTGCCTCCTCTGCCCTTCCCCGTAGTGAGATTAATGACCTGCTCTGTAACTCACATCGTGTCCTTCTCTCTCCCTCTCCTTAACCTTCCCCATCCCGCTTCAACTCCTGGCCAAACAGAGAATGAACAGCCTTCCCTCGTTTGGTTTGACAGAGGAAAGTTTTATTTGACTTTTGAAGGTAAGTAGTGCATAGCATACCAGATTCTAATTTCTAGTCTCCTCTTCCTTCGCTGTTTTTTATTCTCATTGAAAAAATTCCCAGCCTTCCTCAAACTTCTGGTTTTGCTTTCTCCATTAAAAAATGCTATGGCTACTTGGAAAGCATCAAGTACTAAAGAAAAGCGTTTCATGAATTTGGTTGGTATCTCTTCTCCAATTTTTCATGTTGAACAAACTAAAGCTGATTTGCAGAAAACATTGGTTACTTAATTAACGATGGCCAATTAAAAGCAGAACAAAACAGAACCTTCTTTGGCTAAGGAACTTGACTCTGTCAACCAGGCTCTTGCCTAATCCTTTTGCAAATGTGTTGTGGCAAACTTGAGCATAGGTGGGATTGGGATTACATTTAGCCTAATTTAGAAAACCTGACGTCCCAGAGGGAGAATCCAGTCCTGGGAACTGTAAATGTGTGTGCTTGCGTGTGTAAATGCTCCTTGGGGTTGGGGGGGGGGGGTGGTCAAAGAAACAGGAGAAGAGGCAAGGAGCATGAGGGGAAAGTTTGCTCTGCTTTCCCGGGAACTACAACCGTAATGACTGCAGTAAAATGGGCAACTACTGTTGAACTTGCCATTCCAGAAGGTTAAGAGAAATGCATAAAAATAATGTCCAGTTTTGAGGCTCGATATTTGACATTTGTTATACTCTCCCTTAAGGGTTAACACTCTTCTGTTCTGTGTGTAACTTCTAACTCATCTTCACAGGCCACACATCTGAGTAAATGGCACACTTAAACTACCAGTGGGAGAGGAGAATTAAGTACTTTACCTAATCAGTCATTTTATGCATAGATATTAATCATATAAGGTCCTACACTGTACAGTTTTAAATAGTGAAAGTTATTCCGGGGTCAAAAGCTATATATAAAAGTGACACACACACACACACATACGCACACACACACACTCATGTTTGTGTGCGTGTGTGTATGCATGTGATTTTTCTCTCCCTAGAGTTAAATACCAATATTGAACTTGTCTTTGTGTTTCAAGACAACAGGAACTTGAGTGTGCATTGTAAAAATCAGAATGGCTGAAAAATAAAACAGTATGAAATATAACGGCAAAATTCACCCAACAATGAATTTTCCTTATAAGACAGAAGCCTTTAATGCTTGCACAGGTGCAGCAAACATGGTCTGACCTCAAGCCTTTCTGAAGTCCTGAAGTTTTTTCCTGGTGTGACATAAAACAGATGCTAGGTGATTCTCCTGAGAGGAGGCCTTTTCCCACGTGACTTTATCACCTGAGGACCTTAGTTTAGTAGTAAGAAATGTGCTAAGCCCACAAACTTTTGACTGCCTAAATTTTCTCTTCCAATCAGCAGAAGTGAAAGGGTCCAGGTGAGACTTCTGGACCGTTTCTCTCCTGTAATCCCAGCATGCCAAGTCTGCTGATGCTCTTGAAGCCAGTCAGGGCTAATAGCAAGCTCCATGCTGGAGAGAACCTGTCCCAAACCATCCAGACAAAATACATCCAGGCTGCTTCTTACTGATGGGTGCATCCGTAGAGCATCAGAAGCTGCTGCCCTGGGATGGGTTGGAAGTCCTAAAGCACAGCCCCAACCTGTACCTGCCGAGGCTCTAACTCTGGTTCATCTCAGTCAGTAACAAAGTCTGCACTCAGCTAATCAAGCCAGGAAACGAATGAACATACTAGCGCATCATATGTATAGAGCAGTCTGGAGGGTCTTTACCTAGGGAAACCTGCAAAGGCTGCGAAAACTGTCCTCTGTTGTCCTGATACAATGATGTAGAAATGTCTGCATCGTAGAACTCCTGGAGACTATGGCCTCCCCTCAACATTTGTGCTCCAAATGGACAGTCATTCAATGCCTTCTGTTGAATAGCATCTGAACAGAGTGTCTAGGACGCTCATGTTTGTTCACACTTCTTCTTACTAATTATTCTTTTCTTCAGTGCTTCATCCAGAGAGTGAAGAGCATGAAGGTTCTCGTGTCCAGATCTTCACTTGTTCTAAGCAGATTTTCATTTATTTACTGACTTCTGAATAATGTTTTCTGTAGTGTTTATAACTTCATTGTTCATTTTCTGTTCTTCATAATGATTAGGATCTGATAGTCACTCAGCCAACATTTAAGTCATTGACCAGTAACCATGAAGTAACCAGTGAAGATTGATAAGTAAGTTGAGTTTGACATGACATGAAGTACCTCACACTTACTAACAAATGGGGTACTAAGCCTTAGATCAGGGTCCTAAATTACAAGACTCCCAATGCTTCTAAAAATATCTTTTGTAAGTATTTTATTTAAAAAATTAATGTGTTTTACATTGGGCTTATTAGGAACATGATTCAAATGTTAGTGACTTTTTTGTGGTTTGGGTTTTTTTGAGACAGAGTTTCTCTTCTCTGAGACAGGGTTTCTTGCTAGTGACTTTTTAAGTCAACCAGAAGAAAATCCTGGGACTGAGACTAGGATTCGGCCGGTAAAGACTTACCACACAAGTATGAGGACCTAACAGTCACCTCAAAATCTAGGCATTACAGTTCACACTGTAATCCAGCACTGTAGGGGTGGAAACAGGAGGGTCTAAGGACTCAGTGGCCAGCCAGTCTTGCCAAATGGTGAGCTCCAGGTTCAGAAAAGACCCTACCTCTAAAATAAGATGCAGAGCAATTGAGGAATATGCCCAGCATTGACCACTAGCCCATGTGAATGCACACCCATACACGTGGGCACACTCCTGCATGGACATTCACGTGCACATGAGTGCACACACACACACACACACACACACACACACGTCTGCCTTCAGCATCAAGCATCCTCAGGTGGAAGGGAATGGTATTTCCGTGACAAATAGGGGTGCCTAATAGATATTTCAATTCCGTAGTGCCTTTTAATGTCAAGATGTTTCCAAAAACGTACTGCCTCTCTCCTTGGATGACTTCTTAGACTACAAAACCATCTTGCATCTGGGGTGGAAATCAAACAGCAGCAAAACCCTTGCTGCCATGAGTTTCCCTGTGTCTCGGACCATCTCAGTCACCAGTGTCACGTATCCTCTGTGACCCTGCATGCTCCTCTTCCTCCTGTTGGCGGGCATCTTCAGCACCCCTTCCCTACATTTCAGCCTCTCTGTTAGACTCATTTCCCTAACTGCACCCCAGCTCTCTTCAAGGACCAACATTTCTCAGAGGCTGTCTCCACAGAATGTTCTTCGCTTTCCTGTGGCCATGTGTCACGTGAGAGCCAGCTTTAAATTCTCAGGGTTCTGCTCTGCCGGTCAAAACCTCCTGACTCTAGACAGCACTGATCGATCATCTATCTAATCTTTCCACCGGCTTCCCTCCTTATTGCCATTGATCACTGACCTCCAGGCCTCCCTCTGCATTGATCTATAGACTCCAAGTACCAGCAACTTCCTTTTAATCACGCTCACTTTCAAGCGCCATCCCTCACAGGTTCTTCATCCAACTCTCTAGGGCATCTCAGGCTGCCTCGGCCTCCACTTGTTTCCTCTGCTCTACTCAGAATCACTGCCTTGGAATCAGTGCCTGCAGACAGGGTTCATTCAGCTTAGCTATTTCATAACTAAAACTTGCTGTGCGTCTTACATACTAGAAACGGTTAAGCGATGATTCTCTCATTCAACAACATCCATTGAAGGCTGTGCTGGCCACTCCACACTAGCAAAGAAAAAAAAAAATATCCCTGTGGCCACAGAGCTTACGTTCTAGCACGCAGGGCTAAAAATGGGGAAATAAGCAGCCTATATAGTGTGGAGATGGTAGTGAGTTCTGTAAGAAGAATTAGACTTGGTGGAGGCTGGAGCATACTGGGAGAAGTAAGGCAATAAATTGTGAGTACAGGAAACCTGAGCGCTCTACACAAGTCACTGCTGAAGAAAATGAGATTTGGGGGGACGGCTCTCCAGAGCCTTACAGCCAGGCAGAGTACGGTTGTAAAACCGTGTGGAAGACACCCTGCCTCACTCCCTCAGCCCACCCTAGACACAGTCTCATCTTCAGGGCAGGGTTTTCTCTCCCCCTCAGCCCTCTGACTCTGTCACTCCCAGACACAGCTTCTCTGCGCCTTATTGAAACCTCCTCTCCCACTCTCCCCACTCTGACTCCACCCACCAGCCCAGTCGTCCAGTCGGGTTCTTTTCTCTACCCTGATTAGACCCCAGAGAGTAAATATATATTTCTGGAAGGACGTTGGTCATCTCTGGAATAAAAGACTTTCTTTTCTCTCTGGACTTATGTTGACTCTGTGAAAAGGTACGCTGAATGTCTCACCAATGCAAGCAGGCTTTCTAATGTCCCTAATTGCATGTAGATAACACTCAGCTCCCCCGCCCCCTCGCTTCTCTCTCCTGTCTGTTTGTCTGTCTGTCTCTGTCTCTCTCGTGGTTCTTGGGACTGAACTTATAGCTTCTTACCCACTAGGCAAGCAATCTGTCTCTGAGCTACACCCCAACCTCACTCACTCCCTTTTATTTGCCCTGATTTGTAATAAAATACTCTAAGAGTTTGGGAAGGCTGATTAACTCACTTGGAAGTCATTAAAGAAAGGAAAATTGAAAGGTGTGGACAGTGTTCTGGGAAATAATTGCCTTGCTTAATTCCCAGTGTTCTTCAGGTGGGAGGGGCCCTCTGATTGTGCCACTTAACTCAGGCCCTTTTCCATCAATAACACATTAAGATTAATGAGTACTTGCTCTGAAAACCTCACAGCATCTAGCTATCGGGATGGTGAAACAATGCAGGAGCAGAAGAAGTAGCAATTCAAGTCCGTCTTCTCCCTTCTGTGCATACGAATTGTACAACCTTTTCAAATAGTAACGGAAGCCCACAAAGCATTTGTTTCTTTGTTTCAACACACTAAATCTATCTAAAAGATTAAAGTGCAATTGGAATCTGCAAAACATGCTACCAGGGAAATCTGCCGAGGATTTAGTTCCCGTTTTCTCTTCATAGTCAACGAGTTGCC